ACTATATAGTCAATTATACATGTATAATAGTTAAATAGTGGTTCAAATAAATAAAGACAAGACTGCTTAAAAAAAATTAAAAAATAAAAAAATTAAAATTTTAAAAAAGTTTGCAGGCAAATTTGCCTGCAATACAAATTAAGGGATAATATAATTTATTGGTTTCAAAAATATTTGAAATTATTTAGAATCCTCTAACTCAAGTAACATATCATCAGATACACTAGAACTTATATCTAAATTAGATCTACTTAAAATATTTTGATTATTATTTACAAGTATTGAATTATTGTTAATTTCATTAAGTTTAATTAGCTTATTTTTAGTAAAAAATTCCTTTTCTGGTTTATTTTTAGTAATATCTAAACTTTTATTTATAGTATCATTAATTTGATTCAAAATATTGTGATTATCATCAGAATTATTCGTAAAATATATTTTATCATCTCTGTACTTATAAACATATTTAGCCATATACTTCAATAATCTATTGTAAGTGGTATAAGTGCGTATACTGTATAGTAAGTATATTTGAAATTAGACATCTTTAAAATAATTTTAATAATTTTGTAAATACCTCTTTTGACACCAAATTCGTACATTGGGACATTTAAATTCATACATTAGAACATTTAAATTTGTATATTGGGACATTTAAATTCATATATTGGGACTTTCAAATTTGTACAAAAGAACAATTTAATTCAGATTAATTAAAGTACAATATCTTGTGATCTAGTAATCCAATTTTAATTATTTTGGTACTATTTGAATCCTCTCACTGAGACAATTCTAATGGTACTAATATCATCAAAATTGGATTACTAAATCACGAGATATTGCACTTTAATTAATCTAAATTAAATTGTCCTAATATACGAATTTAAATATCCCAATGTATAAATTTAAATGTCCCAATATATAAATTTAAATGTCTCAATATATGAATTTAAATATCTCAATATATGAATTTGGTGTCAAAAGAGATATTTAAATGCTTTGATAAAATATTATATATGTAGAATACTGTATAATTGAAGCAAAAAATTTAATATAAAGAGCAATAAGACATTTTATTTAATTTATATATAAAGAATAAATTAAATATGTTCATTTAATTTAATTTAATTTGTTATATTTATTACATTTATTATGTTAATATTTAAAAATTTTTAACATATTTATTTGTTTTCTAATAATTTAAAATAATCGAAAATATTCAAATTATTTCAAATAAAGCATAGAGCAACAAATAAAATTTTATTATATACATATTATATTCATTATGTTAATATTAATATTTTAGAATATATTAAAGTTTAAATAATATTATTTCTTTTTAGTAAAGCAATATAAATTTACTAACTATATTTGTAAATATTGCAAAAGGTTTTCAAAAAATCGAAAAACTATAACTAATTTCAAATATTTTAAAATTCGATGAATTTTGATTATATATATATAATACTATATTATCACATGAAATCAGCCAAAAGTTTACTGGTACTATAAATAGAATATAAATAGATCAACAATTAATATTGTTTTGACATTTTAACACTTTCGTAACCTTTCGAATATTTGCAAAAATACTGAAATCTACAAGCTTAGCTCACTTTTAAGTCAACTTGTTTTTAATAATTTTATAGAAAATTTTCGTCATATATAAAGCTTTTTTATATTTTAGTTTATTAAATTTACTTTTAAAATTTTAAGTTTTTCATTTATTATTTACACAAACTACACTACTAACTTTATTTATCTTTTTAATTTAGAAATGAACTTCAGTCTAAAGGTTTCAGCAAAGAAAAGCAATAAAAAATCCCAAAGCAAGAAGTTTAACAAGGGGAAAGTACTAGCAACACTAGAAGTAACAAGAGGCACTAAACTTTTTCAAAGTTTTTTAGATAAATTCAATAATCTTAGAATAGAAAGAAGCAAAATAAATAATTCTTACAATTATTCGAATACTCCTGAATGTATTTACAATTATTAAATATTATTTTTATTTTTATATTTTATTAATTATTTTAAATTTAAATTAAAGTGCAAGCAAGAACTTTGGTGAAGATAATTGAAAACCAAGATAAAATTCTCTTCGCTATTAGAGATCTTGGTACTAAAGTTAGGAGAATTGAGAATAAGTTAAAAGAATTAGAAGATAAAATAGAAGATAGCTTTGATTTAACTAATAATAAAACTATCATAGAAGTAATTTTTAAATTTATTTTTATTTTTTTATTATAATTATAAATAATTTAAAGTTAATTTATTAAAGAACACTATTAAAATGGTGGCAAATCTATTGATTGAAAATTGATTTATCCTAAAAAAGATTAGATAATTTCCAAAATAAAAAGATATATTATGGAAAATTATAAAAAAAATTTTAAGACGAAATAGTGAAATTCATATTTTATAAAGAATATTCATAAACCAGTAAAAACTTTTTATTTATTTATTTATGTTTTCATTTATCTTTTTTTTTTAATTTGGCAATTCTGCCTTTATTGTATTAGAAGTGCATAATCTAAATACATGGTTTCCGAACAAAAAGCTTGCAATAAACTCAATGTCTTCCACCCTCCTACTCTTCAATAAAAACTCACTCAGCTGCTCGTAATAGTGCCCAAGTGCGATCTGCTACAGCAATAATTCATTTATCTCTAGCATCTAACTTGCTAGATAGCTCCCCAAAAAAATCACTAAAAGCTTATTGCTAGCTTTGTCAAGATTGCCTTTTTCTTAACATTTTTCCTTCTTCAAAGAGGTATACAACAAATAGGAGTAATAAAACAAAAAACACAAATAAACCAAAAATAACAAAAACAAAGAAAAAAAAAGAAAAAACAATAATATTTAAATTTACCACATATATTGTGACAAACCTTAAATCAATTATTGGATTAGCATAGATTATTCCTAGATTCAATTCAAATTATGAATTTAAATTAGATTTGAATTAATTCTGAATCAACCAGGACTTTTAATCTGTTTTTAAACACTAGCAGTTTTGAGAAAATTATAATCAAAAAACTGCTAAATATTAATATAAATTTAAAAAATATAGCAAAAATTTTAAAAATTATAAATATATATATAGTTCTGGCTATAATTTTTTAACAACTACTAATCCAAATTGAATGGAATTTTTATTGTAGATAGTTATAATATAGTGTTACAACATATTAAAATTTTAGCCAATTTGAATTAGTAGTTCTTAAGAAATTAATAAAAAATTATATATAATTTAATTAAAATAATTGTCTATAAATTTTAAGCAATTTCTCAAGAACTACTAATCCAAATTGTATAAAATTTTAATATGTTGTAGCCAAATATTATATATATTTGCAAAAAAAATTTATCCAATTTAGATAAAATTAAATTAAAATGAAACTAAGATCTTTCTTGCTCATCTTTAAAGCTTATAAAACCAACTTATACTCTTTTATTAATAAAACTAACTCTAAACCCTAACCCTAAAAAATGTTCCTAAAAAATTTTAAATTTTTCTAAAAAAAATAAAAAATTTCATTTTAATCTAGTTTTATTTTAATTTGCTATAATAATTGTTTAAAAATTTATAGCCAGAAGTTGTTAAATTTTATAATTTTTTAGAGTATTAGTTTATGATGACCCGTCACTATAGCAACTCATGATTGACCAATAAAAATCGATCATGCGATCGATTTTTATTGGTCGATTTATCAATTAATAAAATTTTATTAATATTTAATTTATCGTTATTATTAAAAAAATAAGTAATACAAATTTGTAATACTGTAATATGTATAGAGTTCATATATTTTTTTTATTAAACTATAACTCCAAAAAAAAAAAAATAATGCAAAAAAAAATTAACATAAACCTGATTCTAACTATTGCCAACTATTGTACTATATCTCAACCATTGTGCTATGTCCTAACTATCATGACGCCTTTAATTTAAAAAAAAAAAATAATACAATTTAACAAACAATATCACAAACTTCAACGTATTAATGGCAGATTTTGTAACAACACCAATGATGGTGACTTCAACAAGGAATTCTACAATGGCACCACAATGATGATTCACTTATAGCGTTATTATACCTAGAAAAAAAAAAACACTAGTCAAGTAAAAAAAAATAGATATATATACCAAAGAGAAAAAAGAATTCATATATTAAAGAAACATAAAACACATACCAAGCTACAAACTCCAACAATAATTTCCATAGTGACTTCAATGACAATTCCAAAGATTTATAGCAAAGAGAAAGAAAAAAAAGCATTAATTAGTAGGAAAAAAAAGAGAGGAAAAAAAAAAAAAAACACAATAACCAAAAAAAAAAACTGAAATTTATAAGACACTAATGACGGCGATTCTAATGACACCAATGACGATTTCAACAATAACTCTAACAATAATTTTCATAGCAATTCCAAAGACCTATATTGAAAACATATCTAAAAAAAAAAAAAGGTATTAGTGGTATGGAAAAAAAAAACTAAAAAGGAACGCCAAAAAAAAGTAAAACACAGATGAAAACTACAAATCTTTTGCTGTGTAAGTCTCTATGAACAAGTTCTTGTAACTTAAAATTCAAAGTTATATAGTACAAGAAATTTATTCTATTCCAATTGTAATACTTGTATGAGATTTTGTCGTAATGAACCTTCTTGTGCAAACTATATTACAAATACCAGCAATGATTTCAACAATGACTCTAATAATGACTCCCATGGCGATTCCAAAGACCTATATTGAAAACATATCTAAAAAAAAAAAAAAAAGGTATTAGTAATATGGAAAAAAAAAACCAAAAAGGAACAGCAAAAAAAAAGTAAAACACAGGCGAAAACTACGAATCTTTTGCTGTATAAGTCTCTATAAACAAGTTCTTGCGACTCAAGATTCAAAGCTATATAGTACAAGAGACTCATTCTATTCCAATTGTGATACTTGTACAAAATTTTGTCATAACGAACTTTTTGTACAAGCTACATTACAAACACTAGTAACGATTTCAACGATGACTTCAATGATGACTCCTATGGTGATTTCAAAAACCTATACTAAAAACATATCTAAAAAAAAAATTACCGGTATTAGTGGTATGGGGGAAAAAAAAACAAAAAAAATGCCAAAAAACATAAAACACAGGCAAAAACTACGAATTTTTCACTGTGTAAGTCTCTATGAACAAGTTCTTGTAACTCAAAATTTAAAGTTATATAGTACAAAAGACTCATTCTATTCCAATTGTGATACTTGTACGAGATTTTGTTGTAATGAACCTTTTGTGCAAGCTATATTACAAACACTAGCGACAATTTCAATGACAACTCCAATAACGACTCCCACGGCAATTCCAAAAATCTATACTGAAAATATATCTAAAAAAAAAAAATACTGGTATTAGTAGTGTGGAAAAAAAAAAAAAAATGCCAAAAAAACCGTAAAACACAAGTAAAAACTAGGCCTC